AAAAACATGTACTATATATTCAATATTTTGTTAAGACATTGAATATATATATAAATAGAGATATATATTTATAATATATTTAAAACACATAATTCACAATCGGCGAATTACCAACTGTTTAATATATGCAATAAAAACAAATGATCAAAGAGAGAATTTTTTTTAAATTCCCATAGACCCAAAAAGATTTCATAAAAATTTCCTGATTTTTCCAGATACAAAAGAAATCTCCAAGAATTTCAGATTTTTCAGGGAGTAAATACCATGCCTACAATATATATATATATATATATTATTCGACTAATTTGAAATCGACTTCTCCTCGGTAAAAATTCGAGCAAAAAAATAATTTTCCTCCATAAATCTTAATTTTCAAGTTAAATATTTCGATAATTATATCCAATTAAAATTATGTTAAAACAAAGTCAGGCTAAGATTGAATGAAGAAAATAAGCTCTTGTCGCCCACTTATATATTTCTAGGGCTTGATTTGTGAAAATTGTGTGACTCAAAGCATTCCTTATGATTTCATTATGACGTAACAATTGAATAAATCAGTCATTAACGAGAGCTTATAAAAGCAATACCTGCAACCTTATCGATATAGTGGAAACTTTGGAGCCGGCATCCTTTGCCGACCAGCGTTATCTTGTATTGTATTCTTAATATTTAAATGGCCGTAATGATCTGGGGTGGGTCATGTATTCGGGCCAACAACAGGTTATATTAGAGTGTAAATTCAGTTTTTATGCGTATATACTGGAAGAAGAGAAGAGAGAGAAAGAAGGAATTTTTGTTGGGAGGTGGTAGGAAAGGAAAAATGGGAAAGCGCAGGCCAGGGTTGAGTCGAGAATCGAACCCGAGATCTCCGGGATGTCATGCTCGCTACACTCTGAGTCACCGGAGGCTTTTTTAGGAATTTTTGTTGGGAGGTGGTAGGAAAGGAAAAATGGGAAAGCGCAGGCCAGGGTTGAGTCGGGAATCGAACCCGAGATCTCCGGGATGTGAGTCAGGCGCGCTACACACTGAGCCACCGGAGGCCCCCTGACCAGCGTTATCAATTACAAGAAAATTCATTAAGACGGTTCGAGTGTCCCGACGCGTTCCATTCGAACGTGTTTCGTTGTTTACGAAAAAAAGGAATGAAATTCTTGTGGAATAGAAAGCGGAAAAGAATGGAAACAACTACGACGAATAGAGGAAGGACATACAACGTGCATCGCAACTGTTCGGTATGATACAATAAAACACTTTCGCAACCTTGAAATGCGACAGGAAGCCCGACACGTTTTCGCGGAAATACTGCCTTCGATGACGAGAGAGCTCGGTCGACACCTATAGAAACTGGTCCAGCGTGTAGAAATAACGAAGTGAATAGAGCTCTCTCCGCAAAATCGATGCTCCGAGGTCACCCGAGAGTATCTCTTGCTTGCCAGTAGGATTGCACAAGATTCAAGACAAAACAATATTCCTAAAAATATTATATTGGTATCGAAAATTTTCGGAAACTTAAATTTTGTCTTTGTCTCGAGTAAATCTTGCAAAAATCTCGTCTTGTATTGTCTTGTCTCGATTTTATTAACAATTTTTATCTAATACTGAATGATTATTTAAAATAATATCTTAAAGATATATATTTTATAGATATATAATCTTTTTATACTGGATGTCTATTCAAAACTTGTAAAAAAATTCCCTGATTTTTCAGATAATTTGTACAAAATTCCAGGTAAGATAAGAGAATTTTTGGATGAAACTTTTTAAAATAAATCTTTTTTGTGTGCGTTTTCTAATGCTTTTCACTCATACAAAGGAAAAATAAATCACTTAAATTTTAAATATTAAATTTAAAAATGTATTAAAAAGAACTAAATGACTTTTGTAAGATAAGCATTTTTCATTTGCATAATATTTTCATTTTCTATCATTAATTGTAAGAATTACAATAAAAAATGTGTACTCAGTATTGTATATTCAATATTCTTTGCTGTGACAATGAACATATAATCAAGAAGAGAAAGATATATATTTAAAATATATTTGAAATATTTCACAATCATTGGCCAATCAGATTGCCGATGCTTGCAATATAAGAACAAAATGATCAAAGAGAGAATTTTTGAAAAAATTCCCTGAGTTCGAATAAAATTCCATGAGAATTCCCTGATCTTTCAA